CACCCATGGTTTTCTGTAGAATTCGTCAGAGCGCGAGCGCACATTTTTGTGAAAACCGATGTTGCGAAACCGTGTGTTTTTTATATGTGTTTTGGACAATTGGTTTTGAATTCGCTACGAAGCCAGAGGTTTTTGACGGATTTCGGCATGCGTCCGCAACGACGCGGGCGCGCGTGCAAGTCGCCCCGTCTTTTGCACATGCTTCTCGCGACAGCGCGTGCGAAACGGCGTCCGCTGGGCGATTTCGACATGCGCGCGCGCGAAGCTCGTTTGGTAGCATTTTACGAAACTGACGAGAAGCCTCTGGCCTTCTCCACAATTCGCAAGATCGCGCGCAGTAGTTGTTTTTTTAGTTTTATATATTAAAAAAAGATATATAATTATAATAAAAATGAAAAGAAATGAAAACCCGCATTGCGAAACCATGTGTTTGTTGGTTAAATCTGTTTGGGGGGCACTCGATTGTGCGACGCCGGCGGTTTTTGTTGCAGGATTCCCCCGCGCATTACAAAAAGACGGGGCGATAATCCCCGGGGGGGTAATCGATTGTCTTTCAATTTTTATTTTATTTTTTTTGCAAAAAAAGAAGTTGGCGCCGTCCTTGCTCTTGCGCGCATCCAACCCACCTGCCCGCAACTTGTCTAGCAAAACCCACGCGGCGGCGGTTGCGATGAGCGCTTGGCGTTGGCTGTTGCATCTCTGCTGCCGCGCCAACCCAAGCGCGCAGCGGCCAGCTGGTCTAGCGCGACCGACGCCGCCGCGGTGGCGCTGGCTGCCGGGTACATCCCAGCGGGCGCTGCAGCGCGAGTCGGCGACTTGGGCGGGCGCGGTGCCATGGCAGCGTCGCCAACGGTAGACGCGATGATGATCGTAGCAATGCTGGCGAACAGCGACGGCCGCGCGGCCAGTGGCGGGGCCGATGCAGATCGCGCCGGCGACGATGACGGCGCCCTCGCGTCGTTGGCGAAGGCGTTGGCAAGAGTTCGGCGCGCGCGGCCAACGCGCGAAAGTGGCCCGCGTGGAATTATTCGACGCGGGTCGCGGCCACCCGCGATGCGCGCGCGCGCATGGGCGCGCGAATGATTTCCGCATGCGGCGCGAGGGGCCCGTTTGGCATGAGTCCATGAACACGTTGAAAAGCCAACGGTCTTCTTAAGAATTCGCAAGAGCGCGAGCGCGCGCTTTTGTGAACACGGATGTTGCGAACCAGTGTGTTTTTGCATTTGTTTTGGGCACTCGGTTTTGCAATCCTCACGACGCCGCAAATTGTTGACGGATTTTGGCATGCGCCCGCGTCGACGCGCGCGCACTTTCCCCGATTTGTTGCAAAGGATCCTCTCGACAGCACGCGCGCAGGGGCGTTCGAGCGATTCCGACGCGCGCGCGATGCCTTTTTGGTTGCATTTCATGAAGACGGTAGATCAACCTATGGTTTTCTTGACACTTCGCAACGGCGCCCGTGCAAAGTTCTGGGTTGAAAACCAGTTTCGCGAAACCTTGGGTTTTTCTATTTTTACATTCGATTTTGACATCCTTGCGACACCGATGGTTTTTGAAGGATTCCGGCACGCGCGCGCGACGATGCGCGCGAGTGCGCTTCGTTGTATCTTTAGCGCGAGGGTTTCTCAAACACGGCTGATTTTTGATAAGCGAGCGTGCGCGCGCAACATTTTCGCAAGGGGATAACGGGGGGCCATGGGGGCTCGGCTGGGATGGCATGGATTGACATGTAAGATGGGCGATGGGACAGAACCACTCGCAAACTGCAATGGGGCGATGACCCGGGGGGGGGGGGGGGGGGGCGGGGTATCATCTATTCATTTGAAAGAAGGAGAGCACTTTTATATCACATGCAAGCGAGTTGACGCATTCCACGCTCTTGCAAACGCCGCGCCCAACCGCCCGAAAGTTGGCTTGCAAAACCCATGCGGCGGCGGTTGCGATGAGCGCTCGGCGTTGGCCGTTGCATATCTGCGGCCGCGCCAATCCAAGCGCGCAGCGGCCAGCTAGTCTAGCGCGACCGACGCGGCCACGGTGGCGCTGGCTGCCAGGCGCGCCCCAGCGGGCGCTTCAGTGCGAGTCGGCGACTTCAGCGGGCGCGGTGTCATGGCAACGTCGCCAACGGTAGACGCGTGTGACGATGTTGACAACGGCGACGGCGCGGCCAGTGCGGGCGCCAATGCGGATCGCGCCGACGACGATGACGGCGCCCTCGCGCCGGCGAGGAAGTTTTTGGAAAGAGTTCGACATGCGCGCGCGGCCGACGCGCGAGTGGCCCGCATGGTATTATTTGACGCGGATCGCGCTCCCCCCCCCGCCCCCCCCCCCAGCACGCGCGCAAGGGCGCGCGAATGATTTCGGCATGCGGCGCCAGAGACCCGTTTGGCATAATTATTTGAACAGATTGGGCAATGTACGGTTTCCAGTAAAAGCCGCAAGAGCGCGAGAGCGCTCTTTTTTGAGACCTGTCGTTGCGAACCAATCTGGTTTTTATGTCCATTTTTCTTGGGCGCTCGATTTTGAAATCCTTGCGATGCAGGAGGTTTTTGACGGATTTCGGCATGCGCGCGCGGCGACGCGCGCGCTGCTCTCGCGACACCGCGCGCGCAGGGGCGTTCGAACGCTTTCGACGTGAGTGCGCGCGACGCCCGCTTGGCAGCAGTCTGTCAACGATGAGAATGCTTCGGTTGCCCAACAATTCGCAAGAGCGCGCGCGCGAGCCTATTGAAAATCAGCGTTGCCACGCCCGGAATATATTTTGCATGTTGTTTTGGTGTTCGATTTTGAGATCCTTCCGAAACATGAAGTTTTAAGGGGTGTCGGCATGCGCGCGACGACGCGCGCTCGTGCGCTTCGCCCCATTCTGTGCGGCAGGCTCTTGACAACTGATGATTTTGTTGATGAGCGAGTTTGGGCGCATTTTAATTTTGGCGAAGGATGGCGGGGGGGGGGGGCGAGCAAGGCGGCGGCGGGGCGGCGACGGCGGCGACGGGGGGCTCGGGGCCGCCAGACCGCCGCCCGGGCCCAAACAGCGGGCGACGACGGCGAGCGCGGAGTGCTGGACCGCCACCCAAGTCCAACTCCTTAGAGAAGACACGAGAACCCCGAAATGGACGCACTGTTCTGGGGCAAAATCAAGACTCGACAGTGGCCAGCGCGTGGGATTGCAGTGCCCTGCGAACCGCAAGCGAGCGACGGTTTCGACGACAGAATCTGATTGCTGGTACGGAATTGCAAAATTCCCTTGGTGCGTGGCTGAAGGAGTTCCGCGGCGGAAATAATCGCTAGCGACGCGTTCGCGGCCGCCGCGCGAACCGCCCCGCGACGCGCTCCGCGACCCGCCCCGCGATCCGACCCGCAGTCCACCCCGCGACCCGCCGCGCCCGCGGCGCGACCCGCCCGACCGACCCCGCGATCTGCGGCCCGACTCGCCCGGCGACCTGCGCCGCGCTCCGCGGCCTGCTTCGCGCCCGTCGCGCCCGGCAACTCGCCCGCCGAGCG